CAAGAAATCGAAATTGGCTTTTGAAACCCAAAAATTACTTTGGACTCGTTTGACTAATTTTATGAGTGCTTTTTTAAGTTGGAATTGCTTTTAGAGAAAAGTTAATTCAATGTGACTTTTTCTAAAAACACTTCCAAAATAGAAAGCATTTTTAAAAATCAGTTTCCAAACAAGGCTTCCTCCAAAAACTCTTTAAAAGTATGTTTGGAAGTGATTTTGAGAATTGATTTTTTAACCATTAGGAGAAAAATAGAGTCCATCTGTGAGAAAAGAAGTCAAATATGACAGTTGGAATAATGAAACAACGGTAAAAAAATCAATTTTTTGTGGAAAAAAATCACTTTCAAACAGGCTCTAAAAGTAAAAGCATAAGCAAAAATCTTGCTAACGGGCTCTATTAACATTTTGAGTTTAACGGCATGAAAATTAGTTACCCGTTTCACAAAACTAAACATGTTATGTTGCGTACAATGTACCAAACATAAATTTCAGCTTAATTACAATTGGATGCAGAAAATAGCCTCGTGACATAGCAGTTCAAGAATGACAAGGAAAACGATCTTTCAAAACACGAGAATTTACAGTTAAAATAATCTTGTCCGTATACTCAAACCGTTTGGATAATGTTTTGTTTCTTAATGCAACAGAATGTCCGATTTGGCCCGTGAACCCTTCCACTCTCTCTCTCTCCCCCTCACACAACCACTAACGAACTCTCCAACTGACTTCTATATAACAGGGACCAGCTTCGTCATTTCCAACCAATTAGTTTTTACGAGTGTAGAAAATATATAATGGCTTCTTTAAACATGCACTTCTTATGCTTGACTCTTGTCTTGCTAGTTTCATATACTTCTGCTTTCACTTCTCATGATTATTCAAGTGCTCTTGAGAAATGTATTCTCTTCTACGAGGGACAGAGGTCGGGGAAATTACCGGCTAACCAGCGTCTCACGTGGAGAGGCGATTCCGGCCTATCGGATGGCTCGGGTTTTCATGTAAAACTACTTGTCCACTACTCATGTAATAATATCAAGTACCATCATAATGTTTGATGAGAAATGGTGCTCAAATCTTCATTTGAATTGGATTTCTGCAGGTTGATCTTGTAGGAGGATATTACGACGCAGGAGATAACGTCAAGTTCGGCTTGCCAATGGCGTTTACTACCACGTTACTTGCTTGGAGCGTCATTGAATTTGGTAACTCGATGGGGAATCAACTCAACTACGCCAAGGATGCCGTGCGTTGGGGCACGGATTATCTTCTAAAAGCGGCCACAGCCTCCCCTGGCACCTTATTCGTGCAAGTACGAAAAATAATAAGTGCTTAATACTATTAAATAGAGTAAAAAAACAGAGCTCCGAAACACTTCATTTTGCTTACAATGTGGCCTTAATGGAACAGGTGGGAGATCCAAATATGGATCATCATTGCTGGGAAAGACCTGAAGACATGGACACACCACGTAACGTGTATAGGGTGACATCTCAGAATCCAGGTTCTGATGTTGCTGCAGAGACGGCCGCAGCATTGGCAGCCGCTTCTATTGTGTTCAAAGATTCTGATCCAGCTTATTCTGCTAAATTGTTACACACTGCCACGAATGTAAGCAATTTGGTATATTGTTATGCAATACTCGAGAGAACTGGATGCCAAAATAAACAAGATTCTAGTCCTCAATGCAAATTGTAGTGAAGTTCAGTTCAAACCTATGTGCAGGTGTTCGATTTTGCCGACAGGTACAGAGGTTCATACAGTGACTCGCTCAATTCCGTGGTCTGTCCATTCTATTGCTCGTACTCAGGATACCATGTAAGCGAAGCTATTTACGCCTCCTGTCCAGTATGTACTGTCAATATTTGGATAAACAAGCATAATTTTTGAATTCAGGATGAGCTTCTATGGGGAGCATCGTGGCTTCATAGAGCATCTGGAGACGCCTCATATTTGGCTTACATTCAGTCGAATGGGCAAACTCTGGGTGCCAGTGAAGATGACTATTCCTTCAGTTGGGACGATAAGCGCGCTGGAACCAAAGTTTTACTCTCTCAGGTCCTATTATTTACTTGTCAGATAATTCTGCTATGAAAGAGTAAATCAGCAGACTATTAACTGTTTCTACTTTCCTTTCCCATCCATTTACAGGGCTTCTTAGAGAACAGTATTCAAGAATTTCAACAGTTCAAATCACATTCAGACAACTATTTCTGTTCTCTAGTTCCTGGATCACCTAGTTTCCAGGCTCAGTACACCCCAGGTTTGCCTACCCACTAAATTCCTACAAAATATGAGTAAAATGAAGGCTTCTACCGTTGCTCGATTATCTCATGTAGTACAAAATTATTCGACAGGAGGACTTTTCTACAAAGCAAGTGAGAGCAATCTTCAATATGTCACCACATCAACATTTCTTCTGTTGACATATGCTAAGTACCTAAGCACAAACAAAGGAGTTGCCCACTGCGGGACTTCAACCGTGACAGCAGATAAACTCGTGGCGATGGCAAAGAAACAGGTCGACTATATACTAGGCGATAATCCCGAAAAAATGTCATATATGGTCGGGTTCGGGCAAAGGTATCCACAGCATGTCCACCACAGGGGTTCCTCTGTACCATCTGTACGTGAACACCCGGCTCGCATTGGCTGCGACGAGGGATTTCAGTACCTGCACTCGGGATCGCCTGATCCGAATGTTCTTTCTGGAGCCATCGTAGGTGGTCCTGACAATAAGGACAATTTCGCCGATAGTAGGGATAATTATCAGCAATCTGAGCCTGCTACATATATTAATGCTCCATTTGTCGGAGCTCTAGCATTCTTCTCAAGTGCAATGTAACATTTTAGTATGGAGTTTTGAATTTCAGAGGATTTGTGGATTAAAAAGTTACACGATCCCAATCCACTGTCATCATATTTGATATCAAAATTAGCAGTATGTCTTTTAATCCTATCGAGACTATGGAATATTATTAACAATAAAATTAGAGTTACTTCTAATTACTTACTTATTTTTTACTTTCATCATTAAAAACATATATACTTCAAAGCTTACATATTTACTTATAAAAGTAATGGACAGTGTTGGGTGTACAGACTCAGCACCTTACAGGAGTCTTACCGATCCCTCACATGGGGGTGGGGTCGGTTTTTTTTTTTTTTTTTTTTTTTTTTTGGGTTACTCAGCAATTGACACGCGGGGTTACTTGATGTGAGTGAAGGGGTCGAGCCCCACACATTTATTGGCGCGGAGCCCCCAACCCCCATGTGAGTAGTAAGTAATCCGGAGTGTTAAACTCCGAATACCTGCAGCAAAACCTTTTTTTTTTTTTTTTATGGCATCAGGGCCTGCGTGGGACTGACCCCATGTGAGGGGTCGGTAAGACCCCGTGAACGAAGCCCTGTACACATGGCTTTGTTGAAATGTAATTTTATTAAGTTTAATAAAACTTGTACTTGCGGGGGGTAAATATTAATTTTTAGTCCATTAAACTATAATTTGTCTAATTTAATATCAATTGGATCATGAAACTTCAATTATAATTATAATTTTACCACTCAATTATAATTATAATTTTACCACTCTATAGCATGTTACTATCCAAATTGATTAAAATTACTTAATTAGCATCCATACCACATCACATACAACTTAACACTATGTCAAGCCATAAAAATGTTAAAATAAAAGCAACACGTAATTTATCCATTCATTGTAAAGATATTAGTGCAACTTTAATTTAATATTTTCATTTCTAGTGTGCGGTGTAGTGATTGGCCAATTATGTGAGAGATCAATAACATTATGGAATTCAATTGAGCATTTTTCGTCAATTTGAAAGATATTGTGACGGAGTGTTGAATAGTAAATTGATGGAAAGTATGTGGATGAAAAGGAAGGAAATGTTATTGATTTACGTGTAGTATTATTTTAATGAAAAAGTGTGGTTAAAAAGAAGAGAGAAAAATGAATTTTGATAAAAATGGAAATCAAACGGGGAATATCAATTGAGATAAATTAATATTTAGTAACTCAATTGAAATTTAGCTAAATGTTCAGTGACTACGGATGAAATTTACAATAGTTAAATTGAATGGCTAAAAATAGGTTAAATCTATCAATGACCATCTAATTTTATACTTAGTGTCACCCTGATCACCAAATTTGATTTTGTTTTACAATGGTCGCCTAACTTTATACTTAGTGTCATTATAACCACCCAATTTAATTTAATTTTATCATGGCCACCACTTTTTAAAATTAGTGAAAATTGTGGATGGGCGGCTAAAAACATTATATGAAATTGGGTTGCTATGGTAAAATATAAATCAAATTGGGTGAATATAGTGACATAAGTATCCAGTTGGATAGTCATAATATAACAAAATCAAATTGAGTGATGATGATAATGTTAATTATAAAGTTGGATTAACATTGTAAATTTAAATAGGTAAAATTTCGAGTTAATTGTTTCAATGGTCACTGAACTTTGATTCATGAGTCTTTGATTAGACACTGAAATTTAAAATATCGAGTTTTGATCACTGAACTTTGGTTAATGTCTTTAATTGCTCACTGAATTTAAGTCCATGTCTTAGATTGCTCATTGAAACTTTAAATGTCTAATTTTGCCCACTAAACTTTTGAATTTATCATACGTTACTCGCTAGCATAACTATTGAATTTTTAAAAATATCAAGTTTGCAGTCAATAAGGTACAATATTTTTCAAAATTCAGTAAGTAATGTACAATATTTTTCAAAGTCAGTGAGTAATGTACGATATTTTTCAAAGTTCAATGACCAAAACTCGAAATTTTAAATTTCGGTGAGTAATCGAATATATAGACCTAAGTTGAGTGACTAAAACTCGACATTTTAAATTTTAATGACTAATCAGAAACATGAATCTAAGTTTAGTGACCATTGTAACAATTAACTCTAAAATTTCCTATACTTTTTATACCTTAAGTAAATGACGAGTCTCTCTTAAACAAAACACTGTACCAACAAGAGGAAATAGAGAGAGATCGGACTTGGAGAATCCCAACCGACACTTGCCCTTCATGGCCTCGTCTCTCCTTATCCTGTTCTTAGTTCTCATTTCAATCACTTCACACGCTGCCGGCGAGATCCGGTACTCGGAGATCCGATTCGATGGTCGGCCCATAATTCCCTTCGACGAATTCGGGTTCACCCACCGTGGCCAGCTTGAGCTCAACCTCACTCAAATCTCCCTCTCCGGACCCGACCCGTCAACCCTTGACCTCTCCAAAGTTGGGTTCTTTCTATGCACTCGTGATTCGTGGATCAACGTGCTGCAGCAAATCGAGGATGCGGAGATTACGTGCGCCCTTCAATCGGAATCGATTAAGAAAATTTTCGTATTCAATCAACTGCCTAAACCTACTTCCGCGAGCTTTAACCTGCTGTACTCGGAATCAAATGCCGATCAGTACACCCTTGTGTTCGCTAATTGCCTTCCGCAAGTTAAAGTGTCAATGAATGTACGGTCTGTGATGTACAACTTGGAGAATGGAAAGTCCAACCGACGGGATTATTTGTCAGCGGGAAAGACTCTTTTGCCCCGGGTTTACTTCGTATTCTTCTTAATGTATTTTGCTCTTACTGCTGTTTGGATTTATGTTCTATACAAGAAGAGATTGACTGTTTTTAGAATTCACTTCTTTATGCTTGCGGTGCTGATCTTGAAAGCATTGAACTTGTTGTGTGAAGCGGAAGATAAGTCGTATATTAAGCGAACTGGGTCAGCCCATGGGTGGGATGTGTTGTTTTACATATTCAGTTTTCTAAAGGGTATTACACTGTTTACTTTGATTGTTTTGATTGGGACTGGATGGTCGATTTTGAAGCCTTATTTGCAAGATAAGGAAAAGAAAGTTTTGATGATAGTGATTCCATTACAAGTTGTTGCTAATATTGCACAGGTTGTGATTGATGAGACTGGGCCATATGGTCAAGATTGGATGACATGGAAACAGGTGTTTTTGCTTGTCGATGTAGTTTGTTGTTGTGCAGTGCTTTTCCCAATTGTTTGGTCGATTAAGAACTTGCGTGAGGCTGCAAGGACGGACGGGAAGGCTGCTGTAAATTTGATGAAGTTAACTTTGTTTAGGCATTACTACATTGTGGTGATATGCTACATTTACTTTACACGTGTTGTGGTTTATGCACTGGAGACTATCACATCTTATAAATATCTTTGGACCAGCGTGGTGGCAGGGGAGTTGGCAACATTGGCTTTCTATGTGTTCACTGGTTACAAGTTCAAGCCTGAGCAGCACAATCCCTATCTTGCTATTGATGATGAAGAAGAGGAGGCTGCAGCTGAGCAATTGAAGCTAGAAGATGAATTTGAGTTGTGAGTTGCCAATGTGGGTGTATATCAGTGTTGCAGCATCAAATTGGAGAAGATGAGGTAGATGTTGATCCTTTTATGTGAGTTGTGTAGGGCTATTCTATCTTTGAATTTTTATTTTATTTGTGGCTAACTGTTTATTCTTTGAATGTTATCTTCAACCTGTTTATGTAATTTCATGGACTTCTATACTCGTATGTGAATTTTATTGGAGAAAGCAAATATTTTGTGAAATTAAAAATTCTTTGTTGTTAAGATCGGGTGGAGAATATTTTTTCATATGTAATGGTAGTGGTTGCCTGGTTGGTGTCTAGAGTCATTGTTGATGTAAGAGAAAAAAAGAGCAAAAGAATTTGAGAGAGAAATCTAGAAATAATTTTTAATTATACTGCAAATATTCAGCAAGATTAGTTATATGTAAAAAGTTCCGGCAAAAATTATAACTTAGTGAGTTAGCAAAGGGACTGAATTTCCTTCTTGAAGATTATTAATGATTTTAGGAAAGAAATAAGTATTTTCTAATTTTATTCTTAAGATAAGTATGTATTTTTACCGGCAAAAATTACAACTTAGTGAGTTAGCAAAGGGACTGAATTTCCTGCTTGAAGATTATTAATGATTTTAGGAAATAAATAAGTATTTTCTAATTTTATTCTTAAGATAAGTATGTATTTTTAAAATTTAGTGACCCATGATAGGAATTGTTTTCATCTCTAGTAATAAATCTCCATGATTTCCTCCTGACTGAAAAGAACTTGACAGATGGGAATGAAATATTGTCCCAATAGAAACAAATGAGACTCATACGTGCTTTACTGAGGAAATGAACCTATCACATTGAAAACGGGGAATTTTAGTATGCCAAATCCTGCAAATAAGCATCATATCCAAGTCTTCGAAGTGTACGAAATGGGCCAAGTGATTAATCACAAAAATATCATTATTGCTGCATATGACAGTCAGATGTGGATGCTTGTTAGGATTCTCTTTCTCCTGGAAGTCATTTGATAGTTTTTTATTACTGAGTCCTCCAATATGCTGTTGTAATGAGCAGTTGTTGACTTGAAACCATCAATAATGTGATAATTATATGAGGAATCTAGTATGAATTCTCCTCTGCGTTCTGAGCCTTTCCAATTATTGAAAGATGTTGGCATATAATTCTAGAAAAGCAAACTTTCCATTTGTTTGGTTCGTTTTCGAACTGTGCATGTTATGGCAAGAATTTTTTGTGATATTGGATCATATCAAACTGTGCATAGCATGACAAGATTTTTTCTACAACATTGGACCATCTGGATAGATGAGAAGGTATGAAACAAATAGAACTTTAAGCTCCAAAGCCCTTCTAATCTGTTTTTGAAGATGTAAAGGATTTGGAGAGAGCAAGTACAAGCCTTTCCAGTTCCCATACACGTGTCTTCATTTTGACTCTCTTAACTTCCACTTGGGTGTTTCAGTTACAAATAATAAATCATATTATTTATTTCCTCTAAATATACCAGAGTGGTAAAGATTAGTCTTGATAAAAAAATTTAGCATCTGCTTTGGATCATTCATATCAAGTAAAACTTTTTGTTTTATGACTTGTCCTTCAGGCCTATCATGAAGCCTATCTTTATTGATAACAAGCTAGGTGCATGATATAAGTATTGTCATATTGATTGGATGAATCTCATGGAGTCTGAAACGCACTGCGAGTTGTATCTTGTAAGCCTTCTATACCAAATTGCAATATTTCAGCTTCTGTCCTTTTCTTCCACCAAAATTAAGTGCCGTCACCGTTTCCTGTGCCCGCATCCCTCCTCCTCCGCCTCCGCCATGTATGCTTACGCTCAAATCTTTTCTTCCTTTTTTTATCACTTGACACCTTCACCATCCCATTAATTACTATCTCAAGTTCACCCATGCACAGATACAGTGAAGATACCCCCACTTACATATTGACAAATTCATATCAAACATCATCTTGCATTTACATAAAGTGATGCAATCCAATATAGTAAGGAATAAAACTTATTGGAATATGGATTTTTTTGATGGTTGGATTTTTTGTCCTATAAATTTATGTGTTTTGTTTGAATGTTTCGATTATGATATCCTTTATCCTCTGAGGGATTAATGATGATGGTAGCTTCGAGGATGGCTATGCAGATCCATTGGTGATGATTGATGGTGATTGGTTGTAAATGCCTTTGATCTAGGATGTAATGGATAGTGATTTTATATCTTGAGGTGAAGGAAGAGAAAAATCTAACTAGGTAGGTTGGTAGGGAGGTGCTAAATAGATAGAGAAAAAAGAGACACTAAAGATGAGAACTCTTATCATAATTTTCTGAGCCAGTTATGCATTTGTAGAAAATTGGAAATGATAACCTGGATATATTTTTAAATATTTCTAGGTTGCTTGTTATTTAACTATTTTAGGATATCCCATGCATTTAGCTAAGATTTGAAAATTTGTAAAAATAAATCCAAGTAACCAACAAGAACAGACTGGGATTCAAATCCTCGATCTTAACTTTGTTGTGCTGTACCTTCAAGATACTTTTTATTTGTAAAAATACAAACTAAAATTTATTATAAGAGGAAATAATTATACAATATCTATATTATATCTCTCTTATATTTCCTGCCTATTTTAATAAACTTAAATTATTTTTTTAAAATCGATCCTTATTTTAATTGGACACAATAAGGAATATCAGGCTAGATCTGTTCTATTTTCCCTTTTTAAAATTCATGGTCCAAATGGAGTGTGCATGTCCAATTGTTAGCTATGGGAAAACTATACCAATGAAGTTAGTTCATATCTTTTCCCAGGGTGTTGGATGTCCTCTCCTGTACTTGTATTGGCATGATATGTCGTGTTAGTTTATGTGAACCTGACTAATTTCCTGATTAGAGCAGCTTACGTAGAGAAAATCTTGATTCTGATTCACCTTGCTAATCATGGTACTCTAGTTAGCAATCATAAAGAAGTTTTAAGAATTGAAAGATCTTATTTTTTTATTTAGTATATTTGAAATAAGAGGAATCACATTCCATTCTTTGAGTCGGGAGGCTGAAGAATTTGTCATGACTCCCAGTTTACTTGGATGCCAGAGTAAACCTTAAACCAAATATAAATCTGGGCATCACAAATGCTTGTACGGCCCAATTTTTGCTTTTTTTCTTCTTCCAACACATCTTGGATCCTTTTCCATCATGAAATATGCCATAGAAAGTTAGACAAATAAATTATCAAAAGCGAGAATGCTGGGCATCTGCAAGCCTTTCTCCCCCGTAAGTTCACTGTTTCATTAATCTGGAAAGAGGATTGCAACCGTGCCCATATCACTTGACGATAGAGATTTAGGGCCTCTCTCTCTCTCTCCCCCGAATGTTTATCTAGTAACAACGAAAAGTGCGAGAACTTTTTGTTTTCAGTAATGAATTATAATAAAGTGCTCTCTTTCCATTCTATTTAGTACAACAATTTGGTCCACCGGTTGGCTAGTCGAGACATCGATTTATTGCATCCTGTTGGGCATTCTGATTACTACCCACCGTTTTCTCTATCGTTTATTATTTATTGTTTTCACCCAGTTGGGTAATATCCTATCTGGATTGTGACCGGTTTTCTTCTCCTTCACATTTGTCAGTGAGCCACCGTTAGAAGCATTTTTGGCCTTCATCTGAAAATTAAGTGTGGCTGAGGATGTAATGTGTATGCTTTATACAGGAATTAATAGAAACTTTTACCCCCTTGCTAATGGATTTCACGTAAACTTGATTGATCAAAAGGTTATATAGCCTATATCGAGTGATTTTTACTGCATTCTGGTTATTTAGAACAGTTGCTAAAGAACAGAAGCATATTATATTCATGCATTCGAAACAAGTACTAATTCTAGGCTATATCCAGTGATTTATACTGCTTCCTGATTATTTAGAACAGTTATATTTGCTAAAGAACAGGAGCATATTATATTCAGGGTTGCTCTCATTTTTACTGGCAATTGTTAATCGACGTCTGCAGGTTGTGTGCCCCATTATATACTTCACTAACATCGATATATATTCCCAACTCTTTCGTCCTGCTACCAGCGTTGAGTGCCATTGGGAACTTTTCATGATTCTGGAGATATTTGTCTTTCGTTTGTGAGTTGGCTTAGGATGATACGCGACACCGAGAAAATATGCATCGTCTAGCATGTGATTTTGAGTTAATGCATTTAGGTTGATTCTTTGCTATGCGTTGTAATAAATTACTGTATTTTTTGTCATTCTGTACCTTGTTATGTACACAAATTGGCAATCATTTTCTGAAATTAATTCTAGCAGACAAAATTTCCTGCCCACAACGAGCAGGAGTTATAATACCTAATGTGGGTGTGAGCATTTGTTGTTATGTCAGCAGTGGGGGCACCGCATGTTGCCATACCCATAGTGGCCGTTAAAAATCCCGCCCACTGTGGTCTGGAGATCGAACCCATTAATTCTAGATAGAACAAAGTCTACTTTATAACGCAATTATTTTAGCGTAGTAGTGAAGCCCCCACTCAAAATCAAGACATCAAAGCTACATATTATGCCTTAAATCAATAGAATGGTAAATTAAATAGAAAAAAGAATGAAATTCTATTTTAGGGATTCAAGTGCACCTCTGTATACACTGTAAATACTAGTCGATAGAGCCGGTGAACCAGACCAGCTGGTTCGATGCATGGAGTGGAAGGCTCGTATTACCCGACATGAGAGAGAATAATTAGCGTTTCAAGAACCTCACCTGCAAATCAAAAGTAGCATTGCTTTATAAATTGGT